ACAATCCCACCAAAGAACGTGATATCGGAAAATACCTGTTTTTCATTTAAATTTACAATTGCCTGGGGGGGCATAGCGGTTAACGTGTCGAGATTATACGCTACAGTGTCATAGTTCGAGTCCTGCTGGGAGTGTTAATGAGACCTAGGCGAGGTAGAAACTGTACTCCACTCCTGTTTGGAGAGAATAACTTTTGGGCGAGCAAAGCTATGTGCAATTCAATTGAAACGTCATGTCTACTCATATCAGTGTGGGAAAATGCAACTTTCAGTCCCCTTTTCACCAAAAACGAAATGGCATGAATACAATTCATATACATGATCAACATTTAGTCTTGATAGCCTACTTATAAACGACTATCAGACAGATAGTTTGCTAACCTCGTTCAAGCATATCGGGGAGTTCGCTCCTCAGGTCCTTAAGACAACCGAGCGCACGAGCTAATGCAGCTCTCTTTGCAGCAATTTCCTCCGCCGTCAGTCCGCCATCTTGCGAGAGCTCAGACAGCATACGGCTCAGACGGTCTGCCAAATTAGCCTGTTCTGTGGCTGTTTCAGCTAACTCCTCAAGTCTCGAGAGCCGCGACCGATATTCAGTGGCAAGTTTGGCGGCTGTGACTTCGTCGTCCGGTGAGATCACTTCGTCCGGGTTGACATGCAATTGTTTAGACAGCATTTCCAATTCAGAGGTCCATCCAGTCAATTTTTCGAGCCTGAATGTGGCACAGAAGGGAAAACAGAAAACACGAGTGATTTTATTTGTATATATATATATGCTTATTTATATGTTTATTCATTTATATAGCGTCAAACAAATAGCTCCAGTAGAACCAAAAAACAGCTGACAAATGAGAATCGGGATTCATTTTCTAGTGAAATTAACCTTCGAGTCTCTTTAACATACTGGAAATAAAAATGAGTTTACAAAACCTATATTTTGCCATTACAATCTACTATGTGGCTTACACACAAAGAAATTAGTTGTCCAGGCTAGAACTCTTATTCATAATTCTCTTTATATTAATGCTATCAGAATAGGACTTGTGCGAAATAGCTAAAGGCAGATAAAACATAAAATACTTACCCATTCAATCTAGCGAGATATCCAAACGGCTGGATGATTAAACTACACGAAGCTAAATAGTTTTAAGTCCATAGTTCGTGGCTCTCCCAACTGCTATACCACGCAACCAGCGGTCTGGTGGGGTAAAAGCACATTATTGCAACAGCAACATATGCAAGTGTTGTGCGCTTTCTCCAAAATACTCTTGTGAGCATGAATGAGTAGGCAGGAAGTGTGGCACTACCAAATCCATACAACTAATGAAGGCCCAAAGCGCAGGAAATACTATTAAATTTCGATCTAGATTGGAATCGCTCCTATGAAAGAATGGAATTTCGACCTGAATCGAGATGTCTACAGGTAAAAAAATGAAGTTGCAACTAGAGAGGAAAACAACTGGTAGACTTGAGTATACTGCCGTGATTAGATAATCAGACCACATTTAAATTAACATGACTTGAATATTTCATTGTATTTTTCGTCAAGCTTAATCCTGACGACGTTTCTACATGCTGCGAACTGTAAATACCCGAGGCCTTATCTATGAAAAAGAGTGAAACGCAGAATACTTGAATATAAAGCAATGAAGCAAAAAGTGATAAATGTTAGCTTAAACTTAACGAGGTATCCGTAGATGAAAAGGGAAGATGAGTATGCCGAGTATTGAGGTCGGTATTTGCAACAAGTTCATCAAAATATTTTTAATAAGTACTGTCTCAGAATCATACTTATCACGAACACAAGTAGTGCTGTCATGCGTAATACCAAATAGAGTCTTGCTTTATCGATAATGGTTTATCATGAAAATCAGGTCAGCCCTTTGACCCACCGATAGTCACATGTAGAAAATAAACACTGCATCGCCCGGCTGTCTATCTCTTTGGTATTTGTGTAGAGTTTCGAGTTTGACAGTAAATCAGTAATATGAAATGTATTCACTCAATTTCGTTTAAGGTGATGAATGACTGGTAGTAGAATCTTCCCACAATGATATGAGTAGAGCTGACGTTTCCATTAAATTTCACATTACCTTGCTTTCCCAAAAGTTGTTCTCATCCAGGCACCAATGGACTGCAGTTTCGACCTCGCAGCAATCGTATCAACACCCCCAGAGGAAGTCGAGCAGTGACAGTGCAGAATGGGAGCTTGACATGTTAACCACTCGACCACATTTGGGAAAGCAAGGCAATGTGAAATTTAATGGAAACGCCAGCTCTACTCATAGCATTATGGGAAAATTCTACTACCAGTCATTCATCACCTTAAACGAAATATGGTGAATACATTTCATATGTCTATTTCTTGTTTGGAGTGCAGATGTGCCCCAGATGGGGTCTTAACTCCATTCCACCCTAAATAAGAATTGCTTTTGTGGAATAAGGCTAAATGGAATTCAAGGGCATCGTGAAGCCCACTCATATCATTGTTGTCAAACCCAACTATCGGTGGCCAAAGACTGTAGTCACAAGGGAAGACAGGTCTCTCCTGATTTACATGGCATTGGGGACGCTGAGGAGAGCTAGGCGAGGTCGACACCACAGTCCAGTGTGAATAAGAAAAGCTTTTTGTGTGGCAAGGTTAAATGAAAGGAAATGGCCTCGAGGGGTCTACTCACTTAACTACATGAAAAACTATATTGCCAATTATCAAATCCCCTAAAGCACCGTGCTTTAAATGGTTGTTGCTCGAGCTCTGAATGGAAACAGATTGAATATGAATTGAAGGTTGAGGCATTCATAGACTGGCTAAATAAAACCAAAACTTAGAAGAGCTATGAAAGTCTTGTAGGGGCAGCGGTAAAAATATCAACTTTGCTAGGGTCTGATTGTTGATCAAGTCAAGAGTCACCATGAGCAAAAGGGGCCCAGCATCGCTTGAAAGAAGTAAATTGATCTTTTGAGCAATGACTTTAAATTAATTCACTATAAAGTTCTCTATACTATCTACGG